TGTAATACCTATAGTCAATAGTCATTAATACATTATCTTTAAATTTTGTCATTGTTTTTTTTTTCTAAATTAACATCCTGACGGTCGAATGATAAATATAACCWCCATRTCACCAAGTTAACAACTCTTAATCGGAGTTAACTGGAATTTAATCAGTCGAATTTTCCCGGTTAAATATCTGTTATTAGCTAATTAAACATAATCGAAGATTAACCGTAGACGGTACCATTACGACTGGCCATTACGATCAAATATTAAATATACCACGGAACTTACTAAGGGAATTCATTGATATTCCTTTTTAAATAAAAACTTAATTTAAAAATAATATTAATATATTATAWWATTTCACTGTTATKATAACAATGTAAATRTATATGCCAGGCAGTGTCGACGACACAGCATTATTGCATCAGACGTAGGAGTAGTGGGGGCTGTAAGATGTGTGAGTGCACACGGTAAGCAATGCGCGTCGCTATGTAACAATACGGCAAACTTTATACTTCCAATAATTTCTAAGGTCATTACACTGAACCAAAGATGAGAATTAAATTTATGAAAATACAATTAAATAATTTAAATAATTCTTTAATGGAAAATATGTTTTATCTATTCATAAGTATTTAATTATATGAGATATAGACGATATAGTAAATAGTATTATTATTGATCACAGATTCACAGCACAGCTTATTAAATCTTTGAAAATAACATGGCGTAATATTAGATTAATGATTGTGGTAGTAGACTTTTAAACTCTTTGAGGTTATTGAAAAAACTAATATTTATTCTGTATTTAGTACATAAGTTCCCAAACAAATAGGTACATAAATTGGATCATGCTATCCAAATACAGTTAGTCTGTATTCGCAAATCTGGAATCAGTAACGTATTCAGTGGTTTGGGGGGAGTGTTATTTAACCTTCCTTTCTCACATTGACATTTCTCAAGCCCCCCTCCCCCAAGACAAATTGTTAAATCTAATTTYAAATAATGGATGTTCTTCAATTAAATAATCACCATGTAAATATTTCTGAATTTAGATAGAAAGAAGTGGAGCGATAGGTACAGTCATTGCCAGATAAATGGCGGCAGCGGCGCGATAACGGAAAACCAGTGGTTCTCCGTATTTAAATATTATTACCAAAAATACATCAATAAACCAATTGTTACAAAAATTATTTTACGATATTAATTTTAAATCAAATATTTTGATAGTAATCTTTTATTTAAGAAAAAAAAGCAGAAATTTTAAAATAATATAAATAATATAATAATAATAATAATAATAATAATAATAATAAATAATATAAAYAATATAATAACAACATCTATGTACATTATAATATTATAAATAACAATTTTAATATACATAACAGTAGTTTGTTATGGCTGTAGTGGTTCTACACCTAAATCAGTGTAGGGCAACCAGAACCATGTCATGGGAGAGAGAGTACACAAAATTTTTTGCAGTGAGTCAGGTTTGAACTAGTGTCTGCACGCGTCGTAGCCAACTGTGTGACCTTTGCACCACACTGCCAGCGACTAGTTTGGGCTAGTCTTGCTGAAAAACGCCGCCGCCGTCTCAATTTATCTGACAACGRCTGTATGTAGTACCTATACGTACTATACCTGTACGTTTCACGAAATGGACAACATTTGTATCCATTTCACGAAATGGAACCGCGCTTTCTTCACTTCACGTAATTACACAATATGTATTATATTTCATGAAATGGATACATTAACCGTCATCGACAAAATTTGTTCCATTTTTTGGATATCCATTTTAGAAAAATTAAAAACAAACAAAATATTAAGTTATTTACTATCAATTTATCAGAGCTTAGATTAGATTAACGAATATTAAAAAAAACTATATTTTTACTTTATTCCATGTAGCCTAAAACATATTTTATTATTAATTTCACAAATTTAATTTAATTTTTATGTTTAAGAAAATATTTTATAAGTTGAAACTTTAAAACAAATTATAACCTAATCTAACCTTCCTAATAAATTTAATTTATATACAATATTAAAACAGCCAGTGACTTCCTAAGGAGGGTGATTATATCTTCTCCCCCCAAATGTAGATATAACTATATAAGTATGACATTAAAAACAATAGCCAATAGGTATAATGTTTATATGACATATTACTCGTATACTGTCGACTCGTRTAAAATCGCATTGTTTATGATTGTGTTTGTTTTTGCATTTTTCAGGGATGTCACGGATGAATTAAAATTTGAGGGTTTTGAATATGTGAATCCGTATTTTATGCTGCAAGAGACTAAGTTGTAAGG